TTATAGCATTTGTCATTGAAAAGGAGTGACTTTGGGGGGAAGAGGGGACCTTAATTTTGAATAATTCAAGACTTAGAACTTGCAAGAATGTAGAAAGAACTCCAACATGACTTTCACTCCCACCTACTAACATCTTGCCACATCTGCTTTATCAGTTTTTCTGGGTAATCAGTTTTTCTCAATCATGACTCTCCATAACTATATTTTTTTAAATGAACCAATTGGAAGCAAACTGAAGACATTATATTCTTTACCCCTAAACATTTCAGGATGTGTTTCCTTGAAATAAGGACATTTTCTTATATAACCACAGTGTAATTATTAAAATTAGGAAGTAAATGATAGAATAATTAATATCTAGGTTCCATTCATATTTCACCAATTGTTCCACTAATATTGTTTATAAAAAGGAAACCAAAAGGTGCAGGATGCCATCAATGATCACTTTTTGTATTTGGTTGTCATGTTCTTGAGCCTCCTCTCATCTGGAACAGTTCCTCTGTCTGTCTTTGTCTTTCGTATCTTGACAATGATGCAGGACAGTGTTTTTGTAGAATGCCCTCAATTTGGGGTGGTCTGGTGTTTTCTCAGGATTTGGTTGAGATTATGCAATTGGGCAGGAATAATACAGAAGTGATGTTCTGTCCTTGATGTATCATATCATTGATGATGTTGGTTTGAACCATTACTGGTGATGTTAATTTTAATCCCTTGGGAGCGCCTGGAAGGCTCAGTCGTTAAGCCTCTGCCTTCGACTCAGGTCATGATCCCAGGGTTCTGGGATCGAGCCCCGCATTGGGGTCCCTGCTTGGCGGGAAGCCTGCTTCTCCCTCTCCCACTCCCCCTGCTTGTGTTCCTTCTCTCACTGTGTGTGTGTCTCTCTCTGTCAAATAAATAAATAAAATCTTAAAAAAAAAATAATCCCTTAACTAATGATTCTTTTTTATGGGAGATCCTTTGAGACTTTATAAACATCTAATTCCTTATCAAAATTTTTAAAAAGATTTTATTTATTTGAAAGAGAGAGGGCATGAGTAGGGAGGAGGGGCAGAGGGAGAGCGTGAGGTTAGAAGCAGGTTCCCGACTGAGCAGGGAGCCCAATATGGGGCTCGATCCCAGGACGCTGGGTTAATAACCTGAGCCAAAGACAGATGCTCAACTGACGGAGCCTCCCCAGGTGCCCCTCCTCATCAGACTTTTATCCACTAAGTTGTAGCAGCAGTTGATTCTTGCTTGAACAATTAATGCTTGCCCAACTTTCCTTTTGTATTTATCCGCACTCTAAGGAAGCACCTTCCACATACACATGCATGTGCACACACTATATGTTACAACCTGATAACATCTTTTGTGTGTGCACATGTTCATTTGGTGCCCTCCACGTTGGCTTTTGTGTCCTTTCACTACGCCCCCATCATTTTGTTAGCACTTCCTTACTTAGGCATGAGATGTTCTAGGCTCTTCCTCTACTTTTCCTTTCCCAGATTTGGAATTAGCCATTTCTCTAAGGAGTCTGCTGCTCTTGCAAGGGAGGCCGAAGGATTTGTGAGTGGAAGAGTCTCAGACTGTTTGAGTCTGTCTACCCAGCTATCTCCGTTCCAAATCTCAGTGTCTCACTCCTTTCCAGTTAGTGCCATAAGTTTCACCTAAGAGAATGGGCACGGCTGTGAATTCAAGACTGTGTTTCTGCAACTCACACAAACCTGAGGCCTGGTTTGCAGCCAGTTATGCCCTGTAGCCACAAGAAATAAGATATTTCTTTAAGACTGCCACAGAAGAGCTCTAGTTTTCTGATCCTGACGTGACTTTCAAAGTGAGAGCCTGAACCTGTCGTTTTCTGCGAGCGCCCAAATGCAGTAAAAAGTAGCCGGTCCATTGCACTGTTCTGTTGATCATCATACCACTGTAAGCGTCAAGTGCATATCTACTTGGTCTTTTAAGCCTTGTCTTCAATAGCCATTTCATGCAAAAACAACCCAATAGTCTTAACACACAGTATGCCATACGTTACCGGATCAGATTTTCCACTGACGGTGAGGTCTCCCTGCAATTCAAACTCCAACATGGTGGTGAGTCAAAACTCAGAAACACATCTTCGAGGGCCTGTTTCTCAGGACCATTCCAGGTGCAAAGCTCTGTATGGGTCAAGGTCTGACTTAGAAACAGAGTTCGCTCGAGGTATTTCAGAGAGAAGAGATTTAGTGCAGGGATCTGTTTTAGGATGTCTGAAGGGCTGAAGGAGCAAAGAAGGGAAGTTTGCACATAAATTGACAACCACACCTAGGCAATTGACGTCAGCCAGGGCTGGAGAAAGATTCCCCAGAGGCTGTAGTGCTGTCGACTGAGGCTCCTGGCAAGGACACAGAGCCTAGACTTTCAACTCGATCTGGCTGCACATGAAGCCACCACCCCGTGACCCTGAGTCCCTGATGCTCTTAGCTGTCAGAAAGGGTCACTTCTCCCCTTGCCCTTGCATCTCACAAAAGTGCCTCCCATTGGCAGGTGCTAACAGGAAGTCAGCTAGGAAGGAAGTTTCAAGTGTCACGTGGGGACGCGACTACCTTCTGTTGGTACATTACGTTGCAGGGCACAGAAAGTTGAGGGTGGGAGACTCGGAGCAAAAAACCAACACAAATGAATAAACACATGAGAAGATACTCCCTGTTAACTCTATCCCAGAAACCCCAGGTGACTGAAACCAAATACTGAGTTCCTGTTGCGTGCTAGGCACGGTGGTGCTAGGTTTTAGAAGCGCACTGGTGAACAAAACACAGCTGCTGCCTTCCTGGGATTTACAGTCACAGGATGGGGAGAGAAAACCCACGAACGCTTCATCTAGTGGTACCATTACCCACATCTGACAAAGGATGTTTATCTTGGATACACACATCAAACAAAAATAAAGAGGTAGACCCCTCTAAAAAATGGGCAAAGAAAATTGAGCAGACCATTCAAAAAAGAGGATATTCCTTTGGTCACAAAACATGAAAAGCTGCTCAACTGTGTTAGTCATGCACATGCAACCACAGTAAGACACTGTTACAGACCTCTCAGGATGCATAGAAAATAAAAGACTAGCAATGACCGGTGTCGGAGAGGATGTAGGGCAACCGGAACACTCATACTGCTCCTCAGAGTAGGAACTGGAACGAACCTTTGGGAAGACGGCTCAGCAGCATCTCCAGAAGCTAGCATCTGCCACCCCTCTGACCTCACAATTCTGTTGTCGAATTTATAACCAAGAGAAGCTAGCGGGTCTGTTCACCAAACAACACACTCAAGAATATTCACAGGAGCCAGATTCATAGAAGTTCTAGAAATAACGCCAACAGACACAGATAAATGGCAAAATGGACAGCAGAATGGTTGAGTGTGCTAAAACAAAACAAAATAAAGCAATAAAACAAATGAGCTGCCACATGCAGCAACGTGGACGAAATCTCCTGGAATGTGGAACAGCAACAAAAGCCAGAAGCAGGAGTTCATATCCTATGATTCCGTTTATTTGAAGTTCAGGAGTAGACCAAACTCCTCCACGGTGACGGAAGACAGAATCGTGCTTTGGAGGTACTAATGCGGGGTGGGGGACAGGCACATCCTGCTGGTGTGCTGGAAATGTCCCATATTGATTTGGGTGACGTTTGCCCTGGTGTACACATGCATAAAATCTCCTCAAGCTGTAAACCTAAGATTTGTGCTTTTCATGGTATAGATGTTATTCCTCAGAAAATTCACCTAAATAAATAAATAAATAAATGTGAACAAAATGAGAGTTTTTTGTAAATGTAAGTGCTGAGAAGAAATTAAGTGATGTGTTGGGTAGATCGGAGGCTGACTGATCAGAGCTGAGACCTGAATGGTGATAAGGAGATAGCCACATAATGAGCTGAGGGACTCCTTTCTGGGAGATGGGACAGCAAGTGCAAAGGCCCTGTGACAGGGCCCTATCTGGTGTGTTGGAGAAACCTAGTCAAAACCAGTGGACTGGAACACTGTGAGCAGGGCCAAGGCAAGCCTTTAAGGTGGCTTTTCTAAGAACGGGGGGAAAGCACGAAGGGTGTGAGGTAAGGGATGTTGGCAGTACTTTCTGAGAGATTAGATAAAAATAAGGGAGAGAGAAACTTTTGATGACTTTTAATTACGTGGCCAGGACATCTGGAAGGTCAGCAGCTGGGGTTCCACTGACTGAGCAGGACTGGGGAGGCACTGGAGTCAAGGTCAGTTTGGACACATTAAAGTGGACATACTTTTTGGATACTCATGGAGCTGCTGGGGAGGCTGTGGGCGGTGGGGCTGAAGTTCTGCCCCAGACCCGGGCTGGACATAGAAGCCAGGAGCACACAGGTGGTGTTCCGAGTCTCAGGCATCCGGGAGAAGAGACAGCAAGAAGAAACAGGGCGTCTAATGACATCAGCTTTTCTGGAAAGAGACTAGAGCTGCTGAGGGTTTGGATTGAAACTGCTTTAGAAGTGCTTCTGTTGTTAAGAAGGTCTTGTTGAGTGCTGTCTCCCCACCAGGCATCGGGAGCCCAAAAGTGAGCAGACTGTGTAGTGCTGACCGCCTGGGCTTCAGTCTCTCAAGCCAAAGCCATAGGCACTAAACTGCAGATCCCTGCCCCACCCATGACCCTCTGGAACAGAGTGCTGGAGGTATCTGTCTTTTCCAAGTTCCCTGGGTGATTGTTTTTGCACACCGAAGTTTGAGAATCTTACTTCCAGTGGCTGAGGAGTGTGTGTGTGTGTGTGTGTGTGTGTGTGTGTGTGACAGAGAAAGAGAGAGAGAGAGAGGGAGAGAGGGAGAACTGGGGGGAGGGAAAGAGAGCAATTTCCTCTTTCTTTCCCTCTCGGAGGGTGGGGCTACTTTGGCGTTCAGGAAAGCAGTCCGTTCTGTAAGCTCTGCTGTGTGTGTGTGCATGTGTGTGTGTGTATGCGTGGGGGGCGGGCACGGTGTCCCAGGAGGACAGAGTTTGCATTGATGAAAACCCTTCCCAGCCTTTTGATACCTCTTTCCCGCCGCTGTGAAGTTAAGGAACTCAGTCCTCGGTGTGTCCCGCTCTCCGGCCGCGCTCCCTCACGGGCCAGGATGGCATTCTGTCTGGTTCTGCGCATGGCGCTGCTGCTGCTCTCCGGGGTCCTGGCCCCAGCAGTGCTCACAGGTAAGGGTGCTCCCTTGACTCTGCTGCCACCAGCCGCCCAGGGCCAAGAAGCACTGTGGGCCAGATTCTCCGTTGCCCACTAGGCAGAAGCCCTGCCCGAGAGACAGGCCACCGTTTGGGGTGATTCTGCAGAAGGCTTCTGTGAGATCGCCTGCCAGGAGCCGAGTCAATGTCCTGGGAATTGCTAGCCATGGACACGATGGCCCCTGAAGCAGGGGGGTGATTTAGGGAGCAAGGCCAGGGACTTCAGCAGACTGAGGGACATGGGGATTACCCCAGCATGCTGAAATCTGAAGGCTTCCAGATCTGGGAGTCAGGACAGGGCACCAGGCACAGGACAAGCAGCTGAGGGACTAGAGACCCTGGCTCCTAGGCAGAAAACCCCAGAACCCTGCTGGTTCACTTTTCAACCCTGCAAACCGTTCTTCTGCTGGCTTTCTGAAACATCCTTCCAGAGTGAGGACCCAAGTACTATTCCCAGCCCAGGGAAGTTTTCAGAAAGAACACAGAGCCTGAGACTTCTTAGCAAAACCATGCTGAGGACACTGGACTTAGGCTCAATACTGAGGTCAAAATGGCCGGGTCTGGGGTGCGGTGAGAAGGAAGGTCCCAGTAGACTCAGGGTGCTGGCTCCCCAGACCTCAGCCCCAGTCCTGGGCATAGCTCTAGGGCCCTCTGCTGGGAGGGGCTGGCCCAGGCCAGCTTCAAAGCCTGAGAGAGAAAAAGCACAGACAGGTTCTGGATGGTTTTTTTTCAGAAGAAAGCAGTCTCTGTTGACCGTGAGGTGGGCCAAAGGAGAAATATTTCAGGCCCCTGTGTGTATGTGTGTGTGTGTGTCGGGGGGGGGGTCCTGGGGCTGGAGAAAGGAGTGGGTGGGGAGAGCCCTGGAGACCTTCTCTGTGGCATGGGCTTTGGGGGGAATGTCTGTGCATCTACAGGGGTGGCACCTGGCTGCCAGCCACCTAAGTAAGCATGGCCCTGGGGAGAATTGCTGGGGGGTGGGAGGTCTGGGGGGGACAGCTACATACTCAGACACACACACCAGGAAGAAATGATGGTGAGTCACCTGTGGGGGCGCAGGCCTCTAGATGCCCTGGGAGAAGCCCGGCTTTGCTTCCGGCTCTGTCTACCAACCGCTCTTTGGCCTCTTGGTACCTCTCCTCATCTGTAGCATGGGTGTAACCGCAGGCAGCAGTTCTGCCTCCCGTGCAGGGGACGGGAGGCCTGCCCAGTCCGACACACGAGCTTTCAGGATGGGCCAGGCGCCCTGTAACACTCAGGAAGTGTTGGGGAATGTGAATCAATGTCCCCAGCGCCCCCTCTGGGTACAGGGTGGTCTTGGGGCAGAACCGCCTCTTCGAATAGGCTGGGAAAGTGCCAGCCTCCCTTTATGTGGGAGATGTGCTGGCTGGGCAAGACAGGGGCCCGGTGTGACACCCCGGGAACTGGGAAAGTGACCTGAGTATCGGGTGGCATCTTCCATGGACTAGATCTTAGGACTGCGGTCTTTGCAGATCCCCCACACCCCACCCCAAACCCCACTCCACCCCGGCCTGGTGGTCAAACTGGGTAGAGGTGAAGGTGTTGGCGCCGGCCTGCCCAGGTTCTGGGGCCACCAGGGGAGCTCCTGTCCAGTTTCTTGTTCCCTGAGTAGCCCAGCTCTTCCAGCCCAGGATGCTGGCTGGAGGCCCTGGATCAGACTGTGCATACACAGCCTGGGTGGGTGGGCTTTGTCCGCTGCCACAGGAATGTTTGGGGACGTGTTTGGCATCTCTAGGACCTCACCTGGCCTCACCTCCCTCCACGTGTCCTACCAGGAACAGGCAGGCCCACTCCACCCCCCAGTCTTTGGGGTTTGGGCTGGCTGTCGTTCTTCCTGCCAGTCTGGAGGGAGGATGTTTGGGAAGCTCTCAGCCACCCCACTCTGGGCTGGAAGCTCTGAGCAGGTGTGTACAAGGCCTAGCAGGCCCCTGCCTTTGCTCGGTGGGCAGGGGTCCTGTACAGGAGGGCAGGGAAGGAGTGGCCCTGTGGCTGAGGTCCAGACCCAGCCTGCTGCCCTCCCTGGTGGCTGCCCGTACAGCTACTGGAGTAGGGGGAGCAGGCCAGGCTGAGCAGGCAGGAGGCCAGGGAAGGGATGAAAAGGCCCTTCATGGCGGGCACAAAGGCTGTCTGTGAGCACGGGTGCCTGGCCTCGGGGTTCTGCGGTCAGAGCGAGTGTTAAACAAACCTATTTACTGAAAGGCAGGGCGGCTGGAGGCGGTGGGGCTGGGGGAGAGCCCACCATGCCCGGGCCTGTGTCAGTGTCACAAGGTCCCCTACTTCTCTGGGTTCCCTTGGTCAGAGTCGCAGGACGTTGCTAACTCTGGTCCTTGGTGTTTAGGTCTATCACAGGCCCCCCTCAGTCCTACCTGCCTCTCTGTCCTCACCTAACATCCCCCTTGGGGCTCACAGCTCAGCTTCCATGGCCATGGGCTCCGTCCTACATGACTTTGCTTGTGCCGGTCCCTCTGCCTGGCTTTCTCTCCCTCATCTTCACACCTCTTTGGATGGGTCCTCCTGCTGGCAAGCCCCCTGACAATAGCTTCCGCTTAGGCGTCCCCAAGGTGGATTTGGGGGGAAGGCGGATTATTGCCTTTAAACTCTGTTTTCCCCTTTTATTACAGCAAATTGAGAAAATACAGAGACATGTAGATGAGGATGGGCCTCTTCCTGGCCCCTGTGCCTCCTTCGCTGGGAGGGGGCAGCTGACTCCTGGCTGCAGTTCTGGGCTGCAGAAGCTGCAGGGAGCTGGCCGCCCTTTGGGGCCCCAGCTTCTTGGGTGCCGATGAGCCTCTGGGGTCTCCCATGATGGCCAGTGACAGCAAATGCAGAGCACACAGACCCAGCCGACCCGAGTCCGGCCGGGGAGGCCCTGGGGCCAAGGCAGCAGCTCAGGACAGCAGGACAGCATGGTTAGCTACTTGTGTGAGCTCAGAGAGACGCGATCCAACGCCCATTTCACAGGGTGGGAAGTGCCGTCGGGGAGGGGGAGTGAAGTCAGTCTGCTGGGGCCCCAGGGTGGGTGACAGCATGACAGAGCCAAGCTTGGGACCCAGACTCTTTGATCTGGAGGCCTGTGGTTTCAGCCCCTCAAGCTTTAGGGCCTGGGTGAGTGTTACAGGGGTAGGAGCAGGGATAAGGCAGCCTGAGCCAGTGTGTCTGGCAGGGAAGATCCAGACTCCCGTGGGGAGAAGCCAAGTAAGGCCGGCTCTTTGGGGGGTGGAAGGGGAGAAGACCTGGGCGCACCCCCAACCGCCCTGCTCAGAGGGAGGCCCCCTCTCCCCCAGAGCTGGCTCCTGGGCTCTGGCAAAGGGCAGAGGTAGAGGCTTTCCTGGGCACTGCTAGCTCCAGCCTGCTGATTCCCCCGTGGCTGCCCGGGTCGCTGGGCCTGGTACCCCGCAGCCCTGTGGAGGCCTCCCTGCTGTGGGGGCCAGAAGTGTGTCCACTTAACTGGGAAGACAGGCAGTCTGTCAGACCTCAGGGCCTAGCCACGGACATACTCGGACTCTTTCTCTGGCCCAGCCCCTGGGAGCCTAAGGCAAGCATGCCCGGGGCCTGGTACCTTCCATAGCAGCTATGAGGCTTGCATACCCCTGCCCCTCCAGGCAGTGATGACAGAGACCTGGCAGGGTTATCGCCCCCCTCCTCACAGGGTGATCTTCGCAGTTGGTGGGGGGCCAGGGAGCACCCAGACACCGGCATTTGGGTTTGGCTTCAGTCCCTGCAAGCAGGAAGCTTCTTCCCCCACACTGTGTGTCAGGGGCCTTTTGCCCCTGGGAGATCTCCTTGGCAGGGCTGTTTTCTGAAAACGGATGCCGGCTTGGGGAACCCTTGAGGACTAGGACAGAGGTTCCCGCCTGCAAGCTGAGCCTCAGAACTAATCCAGCCCAGGCCTGGGAGAGGCTGCAGCGGCAGGGCCTGGGGAGTCCTGTACAGCTGGATTGGGAAGAGATTTTGAGTTTACCTCCAAGTGGCAAGAACAATCCTAGGGAACGCCTTCGCCACATTTGTTCTTCTTCCTGTCTCTGCCTACCCACTTGAGCTATCTGAATGCTGACCACTGAGGAGTAAGCTGTAGACATCATGCCTTTTGTCCCCTCAATGCTTCTAAGAACAAGGATCTTTACATCACCAGTCAGTTATCTCAATGAGGACCCGGACATTGATATGGTACTGTTATCCAAGCTGCAAATTCCTACTTCCCCACTAAACCCCATAGCGCCCCCCTCCCCAGCCAGGAGTACAAGCTGCATTCAACCTCCTGGGTCTCTAATCTGGAACAGTCCCTCAGCCTTCCTTTGTCTTTCTTGACCTGGATGTTTTTGAAAGCAGTTATTTTAAGACTGACCCTGAATTTGGGTTTCGCTGATGTTTCCTCGTGATTTGCCCCAGGTGGGCACTGTTAGCACGAGAGATCCAAAAGTCCCTTTGTTTCCTCCCAGCACAGCCCTTCTCTGGAAGCTGGTGAGTTTTCAAGCAGCTTGGCTTGGGCTTGTCTGTGCCAGAGGGAGCTCTCAGGGGTTGGTGAAGCCTGCGGAGAGAAAGGTGCCCCAGGGACCTGCAGGCAGGCTGGCTGGGGCTTCAGGAATGACACAACTTCCCTGGTGGTTTCTGGAGGAGTGTATCCTGATACTTCATCATCTGGGGGCTTCTGAGTCCCAGCAGCTCTCCTCCCTGGGCTCCCCTAAGCCTTGGTTTTCTCAAAGAGAGTTCCTAGCAGCTGGAGTCAACGAGATGGTGTCGTGATGCCTGCGGAGCCCTTTCTAGGGACTGCATGGGGGCTGAGCATCCTCGGATCACAATTCAGATTAGGCACTGGGGAGCTCTGACTCTGCTAAAGCCAATGGCCAGGAGTAGGGGGTGGTGGGAGCCTGGAGACTCTGTCATTCTGGTCTTGAACTTTAACTGGGGGGCTGGGGCCTCCTCTCTGGGAAGGATGGGTGGGTCTGGGGTTGGGGTAGTGCTGTGGGGCCCCTCAGACGAGGATCCTTGGTAGGGAGGGGAGTGAAACTGGCATGGGCCGATATGGTGGAGGTGGGGCTATGGGGCTGGGGTTTTCACACATGCCTCTCAGTGTCAGCCTGTCCCGTTCCCTGAGGCCCCTGGGTACTCCAAACCTTGCCAACTCCCAACTCATGAGCAGAGAGAGGCCTCTGCACAAAAGCTGCACCGGGACTGATGGACTGATTGAGCCCCAGCCTGTGGGGGTGGGGGGGCATCGTCCCTTTCTTGGGGCTTCCCTTACACTGACCATACACCTCTGGCCGTCCCTCTGGCCCTGTCCTGTCTGGAGATAACAATATGCTGGCATCACAGTTTCTTAGGATACAGAGTCCCCTTGGGGTTTAAGCCTTCAAACACGGGGTACGTGTGGGCACTAGACCCCATGTCCTGTGGGCTGTGTGGCTCTGCCCAGGTCAGGGCAAAGGAGGGGAAGCAAAGGAGGGGTTTGCCTCTCCTCCCCACCTCCTGCAGCAGCAGCCCCCTCATGGGGCTCTGGGTAGGCAGGGACCCCCCTTTCCTGAAGGGAGAGTTGCCTCACCTTCCTGGCCTTTTCTCCAGGGTGAAGGCTGCCCTGCCCTGCCTTGCCGGGGCCTCTCTCAAGGGTCAGTTATCTCACCCAGGCCCACAGAGCCCAGCAGTTCAGATGAGGGTCCGCGGGCTGTGCTGGGAGGGGTGAGTGACCCGCTCAGGTCTTCTGGAAGCTGGGCGGCCAGCTCCGAGCGGGTGCTCACCGCTGTTCACTAGGAGAACCTGTTGGGCCCCTCCCCCTCTCCCTTATTCCCCCCAATCCCCCATCAGTCTGTCTTCACTGGGCTCAGAAGCAGCCTGGCCCCAGCAGAGGTCCTGGAGCCCCGGTGAAACTGAACGGTTGGTTCAGCGCTGACCCCAGAGTCCCGCGCACAGCGCCACCTCCGCAGTCTGTTCCCTGCGGGGGGCCTCGTCCCTGTCGGCCCTGCCGCCGGCTCCCCAGCGCCTGTCCTTGGCCTTGCAGCCGAAGGTCCGCAGGAGCCCGCGCCCACCCTGTGGAACGAGCCCGCTGAGCTGCCGTCGGGAGAGGGCCCCGTGGAGAGCACCAGCCCCGCCCGGGAGCCCGCGGCCACCGGGCCCCCGGCCCCCACCGCCGCGCGGGGCCCCGAGGACAGCACGGCGCGGGAGCCGCTGGACCCGGGCAGCGGTAGGCGCGGCCGGCCGGGCGGGGGAGGCGGGGCGCAGGGCGGGCGCGGGCGGCGGGGGCTGACCGGCCCTCCGTCCTCCGCAGGCTCGCTGGGGCCCGGCGCCATCGCCGCCATCGTCATCGCCGCCCTGCTGGCCACCTGCGTGGTGCTAGCGCTCGTCGTCGTCGCGCTGAGAAAGTTTTCCGCCTCCTGAAGCGAATAAAGGGGCCGCGCCCCCGCCGCACGGCGCGACTCGGCTGCAACCCCGGTGGCGCTCCCGTGTCTCGAGTGTGTCCGCGCGTGCGTGTGGGGGCGAGCGGGGCGGGTGACAACTCTCAACACGTGCGTGCCAAGACCCCGCTCGGCTGCCCGAGCCCCTGGCTCCCGCCGCCCCGGCCCTGCTCCTGTCCCCGAAGTGCCCAAGGCCCGCCGCCAGCGCTCGGGCGCAGACTGACGCGCGGCCCGGAGCTCGGGGCAGGCGGGCAGGGCAGGGATCCCAAGCAGAGCCTGCGTTGTTCGGAGGGTGGGGGCGTCTTCTGACCTGGTCATTAGGCCATCTGCGGCTCTGAGCGCCAGACCTGTCCCTCCAGCGTCCCTGGGAACCCCTCCACCCCTGGGAGTCCCAGGAGCAACCCGACCACAGTCCCAAGCAGCCTCCCTCTAACTCCCCGTCTGGCCCTGGCTCTCCTTTCTTGGTCACATCCTTGGTTTTGCACACTTCCCGGGAAGGCTGGCTTTTGTGATTGAGAGAAGGGATTTAAAATAGTGGCTGAGCTGCCCAGGGCTTGGCAGGAAAGAGGCCTGAACTGGAAAAAAAGAAGACCGGAGGCTTGAAGGAGGGACCGTCTGCACACTCTGTGATGGTTTGATACCTTGGGCTGAGGTGTAGGTGTTGGTGGAGGGAAGCTGTTCCTCCTCTACTTTCACTGTTTCTAGCAACGCTTTTGGCCTCCTTCGCTTCCCTGAGCTCCTGACCACTCCTGCTCCAGCTAAGACCAGTTTTTCCCTCCTGGATACTCCAGATGAGCTCTTGCCCAAGACACATGGCGAAGTTTCCATTTGTGAAAGACTGTTCTAAAACTGACCAGTTCTCATGAAGCTGTTTAAATGACTTCATCCCACGTAACCTCTGGTAACCAAAGCCCTAGTTAAAGCAGATGATCCAAATCAGCATGCTCTTTACCAGCCTCAAAAAGATAAGATGGCCAAGGGCCAGGACCAATGGTCACCCCTCCCCTTTGTCCCAGTTTTTCCCTCCCCCCACTCAAGAGCCGCATAGGGCTCAAAACTGGCCCCTCTCTCCCTGCCCCCACTGCTGGGAGCCTTAAGTGTGGGTAATCCCCCTGGGGGCATAGCCCAGAGGCCCCATGAACATCAGCCCCTCAAAACCAGAGTGTTGCACATGTATGCATGTTCCAGAAATCCATCCAATTCTCACAGGCTCTCAGTCTCAAGAATGCTAGGAGCCATGTTGTGGCCTGTGGGAAGATCCTACGAAGTCCCACTTGACCCAAATCCTGGGCTTCTAAGGGAGGGCCTGTTCTGGCGTGGAGGAAGGAGTGTCCTGGCAGAAAGAGGGTGGTCCCAGGCATGCAGGGCTGGGCAGGGTCAGATTCCAGGCCTTCCACGCTCCAGGACAGAATCAAGGATGGCGGTGGAGCACCTGTGAGGGTTACCTGGGCTGGGCGAGGAGCCGCGGCCTTTGGGTAACTTGCTAGCACCAAAGTGGGACGAAGTGCCCAAGGTGGGAAGTGACTGGTCAGGTAGGAAGCCCCAGCCCCGTGCCTGGTGTTAGATCCCCTTTGGGATCACCAGCCACTGGTACCTCAGCTGCCCTGTGCTCTTCCAAACCTGCATTCTCACTTCCACTGCAGCAGAAGGGCACCCCCAAATCCCTCAAATAGCATCTTTGGTTTCTGAAATCCTTCCACAGGTCGAGGCCCAAATCTTCCACCCTGAGGTCCTGACCCTGGTTGCTTCTTCCTGTCCTGGAAGCCACCTCAACCTCCTCCTTCAGGACATGCTACTCCATTGGCCTTGAAAGGAGTTCTTCTTTCCCTGCCCAGAACCGAACACCTCATTCCTGTGTGCAGCAGAGCAATAAAGAACAGCGCGTCACCTCCATTATTTTATACATGATGCTTCTTTTAATGCAGCCAGAAATGATATTTGCTTTTCTCGAAACCAAAATCGATACAGGATGCAGTGACCAATTCATTCCTCACAACACCTGGGCTCCTGAAGGGGCCGGAAGACACAAGTTACATCAGCTTGTCAGGGAGCCAGAGGTTGCATGGGCCCTCAGCCAAGCTCTGGTAGGCCTGCCATGAAGCGGGGCCTAGCCGTGCAGCCAGAGGCTGGCAGAGGCTTGGGGAGGGGAGGACAGAGGCATTTGGTCTCTCAGTCCTTTGGATCGGAGACCACAGGCTGCTCATCAAGCTCAGGCAAGGGTGGTCCGTCTGCTCCCCTGGTGGCTTCTAATGGCTTCCAGGGTCGAGAAGGATGTGTGCAGGGGGTCATGACAATCCTTCCAGCCTGCCCTCGGCCAGGGACCCCCCCGGGGTTGGGGGCCTCTCCCAGTGCCTGGGAAGGCCCCTGGAGCATGCCGGGTCCACATCCACCCCCTCCAGGAGACAAGAGGGAGAGATAGCAGAATACTGTTTAAAATACGCTTTCTCGTTTATAAATGCAGCAGAGGAAAGACATGGCACCCTTTCTCCAGTTTGCAAGCGAGGGGGCCGAGACAGGCGATCACTCAGCCCGGGGCAGCGAGAGGGGTGGGGGGGCTCCTGTATGAGGCGCCTGCCTGCCCCCGGAGCCCCTCCGCTGTCCGCCAGGCTTTGCCTATCCAGCGCTGCTCCGGCCCGCCCTCGTCCTCCCGCCAGGCTAGTGACCCGGCCGGGGGTCACTGCCGGTTTCGGCTGCCCAGCTTCCTGCGATCCTTGTTCTGGCTGCGCTGTGGGTCGTCCATCTTGTGGACTCGGAAACATTCCTTGAGGTTCTGGGACCGGATCTTGGGATTCAAGATCTCCTCAGTCATGGAGCTGGGGAACCAGCCTCTCTCCTGGTCGTGCAGACGCTCGCCAAAGATCCACCCTGTGCAGGGACGGGTCGGGGAGGGTCAGGCTGTGGGGGTGAGGGATGAGTCTCCTTCCCAGCCGGGGCTCCCTTCTGTTTGGGCGGCAGCGGCGAGGGAGGTGCGAGAGCCCTTTCTGAGAGCACCTGCTCGACGGCTGCTGCTGGAGACCCTCGGTTGGGTTTCTCCCCAGAAGCCGGGAAAGCACTGCCCTGACCCCCTCCGGGGGAACGCGGTCCTGGGATGCCATGGTGTGTCTCAAATGTACTGACTCTGGACCCCATTCCTGAGCCCTCAGCAACCGTCTGCCGCTCAGCATGAAGCCAGGAGACCCCAAGGGCACCACCATCACCCTTGTCAGGCAGCCTGTCTCTGAGCCTCAGCCCTGTGATGTCTGCTTCTGCACATGGGGCTCAGACTACCCCCCCATCCTTCAGACTGGTGCAGAGTCTGGGGCACCAGTGGGGCGGGGAGGGGGTGCGTGTGTGGGAGGTGTGCGGGCACCAGGCCTCACCGTCTTCGGTCTTCTCCAGAATGTTCAGGATGTCCGCCAGCTCCAGTGTCAGTTCATCTGGCTGCTGGGCCACATACGGGTGCACGCACTGCACCTGGGGGCAGTCTGAAGGCGGGAGGGAGGGAGACGGTTCGTCCCCGTCACCATGCCCCCGGTCCCACTCTGTACCCGGCAGACCCTGGACACCCCCTCCCCCCCTGGTTAACAGGACAGGCGCGCCTAACAGAGCAGTGCAAACTCCCCCAGCAACTGGAGAGGGTCTGTCCGGGCGAGAGGAGGATTTGGCTCCAGAGAAAACACTGTGAAAACGGCCAGGGGCTCTCACAGTCTGTGGATAAAGGGAGGAAGAGGCCGGGAGGGGGGTTATTCTGGACTTTGGAAGGAGCTTCTTGGCCCTGGGATGTGGTGCTGGGAGCAGCTGTGGGAGGGCCGGGACTTGGAGAGCAGTCAGGGCTAGAAGTTTCTCTGGGAGGCAGGTGGGCCGTCACTAAGGTTTCACAGAGCTGGCAACCCCAAATCACATTGGCGTTTGCCTTCTGGGCCCAGATTCCTCTTGGTTTCCCTGTGGGACCTGTCACCTAAGATCCAGTGACTTATCGCATTATCAACCATCCATGTGTCTGTGAAGTCGGTTACACCAATGTCCTCCCTTGGGGTCGGTGCACAGGCCCCTCCGGCCGTGGAAGCCATGCTGACGTCTGGAACAGCGGGCTCGCAGGCACTGGCCCGTCCCAACAGTGCAGACAGCACCTGCCCACACCTGCTGGGGCCTCCTTCTCCCTCAGGGCACTTACCCAGCAGCCGGGAAGTGAAGGAAACAAACTTGGTTCTCCGGTTGGGGGCCAGGGAGGTCATCCAGCGCTTCATCTCACTCCTGGGACATGGAGGAGGACATGCTGAAACCATGGAGCAACGCCCCCCCCACCCGGCACCATGCCAGGCCCCCCACGAGGCCACAGCAGGACGGCGGGGCGGGGTGCCCAGAATCCAGGGGAGAAGCGTGGGGAGCCCTACAGAATTTCCCTGACACGTGTGAAGGTCAGCAGGTGAGGGAGAGTCCCCCCCAGACACCCCAGACATCCCTGATGCCACAGGCTCTCAGACACGGAACCAGGGAAGGCTGCCGTTGGTCTGGGTGGTAGGAACTGGGCCAAGATGGGGGGCCGTGCCCTGTGAGCTCCGTCCGGTGGGGACAAGTGCAGGGCAGCACATGGGGCTCACAGAACGGTTTCCACCTGACCTTGGCTGTCCCTCCCAGAGCCCTAGGGCCGCAGGGCAGGTGGTCCGGCTGCTCAGAGGGGTGAGAAGATGGCCCTGGGACCACCCAGTGACATGGGGTGCTGGTCAGCGAGACCCGAGGGTTCTACATCTCATCAGGAAAGAGAGGCCTTTCCAGAACCCGAGACCCAGAGGGGACACACGCGTGCACACACACACACACACACACACACACACACCACGCCCGACATACGGCATCTGGGGGCCACCAAGCACATGCCGAGCCCCAGAGTCTTGCTTGCTCCACCTGGAGGGAGACTCGGGAGGCCCCGTGGGTGTCCGGGGCAGGGCTGGCGGCACGGGGCACTCACTGAGAGGTCGCTTTCAGCATGTAGGTGGCCTCCCGGTCATCCGCGTTCTCCAGCAGCCGTAGGATGAACACGTTGGCCAGTGTCTGACCCTGGTCCTCCAGCTCTTCCACGCGGAGGAGGCCCCGCGGGGCCGAGTCAAACACTTGGTACTTGTCTCTGGGGACCCAGGGTGACAGGGTGGGTGTGTTGGTCCCAAGGAGGCCCCAAGGTCCCAGGGAACCCTCCATCCCCGGTCCTGCAGGCTCTACTGTCCTGACCACTCCTCACCTCATTCTGGAAGCCCCTCACCTGAACACTGGTCCCCCTCTCCCCAGACTGCCGCCTCCCACGGCGACCGAGGGGTGACCTGTTGGTGTTGGCCCAAGCCGAAGCTGTCCCTGCCCCACCCACGGCCCCCCGGGGTCAGGGGCCCCATGGCTCACCCGGGTATCTGCCGGCAGATCACCAGCAGGTCGTTGAAGAGGAAGAGGTAAATCTCCCGGAAGAGTTTCTTGGTCCTCAGGGTTCGGGATGTTTTGGGGCCTGACATCTGCTGCAGCTCACCCTGCTTCAGCAGCCAGCGGGAGTGGGAGATGATGGGCACCGACTGCGTAGGTGGGGGCATGGCATCAGGACGGCGGTGTCCCTCCAGCTGCCCCCCAGGCTCTCCCCGCCTCATTGGAGTGCTAACCCGAGGAACAGCACGGGGTGCTGTACAGGGAGAGTGGCGGATGGAGCAGTCCTGGGCAAATGCAGGAAGGACAGTGTGTGCGTGCGTGTGTGTGCATGAAGGTGCTCGCTCCCGTTTACACAAGCATGTGTGCCTCTGTGCATTTGTCTGCTGTGTCTGTGCTTGTGTCTAAGCGTGCCTATGCGCACTTGTGTCTACGAGTGTGTGTGTGTGTGTGTGTTTGTACATGTGCGCACCTGCAGAATCAAAGGGGGAGCCCGGTTCACAGGGGAGAAGAGAGAACTGCATGTCACGGCACAAGCAGGCCAGGTCTGCAGGCCCCCACGCCACAGCTGTGGGGAGGCTCCCAGCACCCAGTGGTTGACCCGGCAGGTGGAGACATGGGGGGAGCGCAGAAGGCCGTGTCTCCATCCTCAGCGGGTGCTCAGTTCCTGAACACAGGAAGAGCTCAGGGACCCTCAGTGGGCATGGTGTGCTCATGTGCCCATGTCACCAGAAACCAGTCCCCAGAAACCCTTTGGGCTCACGGATGCCTGAAGCCTGACACAGAGGCGGGGGAGGTTGGTAACTGCAGTCAGATTTTCAGTGTCACCCCCACCCCGGCTCCCCACTATAAGAATTCCTGGAATGGTCCCTGTGACATGCTTCATGTCAACTAACTGCTCAAGGTCTCACAGCCAAGAAATGAGGACAGGCAGCTCCCAGGCCCTGGCACGGCGTCTCTCAGAAGGTAAGCACAGGCCAGTGCAATGGTATGGTCGCGGGTGGCAGGCAGGGGCAGCTGGGGGGTGCCAAGGGAGATGTCCACGAAAGGTGCCACCGCACTGAGACGCAAGGGTGGCCTATCACTGAACCCGTCTGGGGACAGATGCCCTAGGCCAGCCCAGCTGGGCTGGGGACACATGGCCCGGTGAAGGCTCACCTTGATCTTAAACTCCATCTTCTTCTGAATACTGATCATCTGCTCCGTGCGGCTCATTTTCCTGACACCCTCATTGCACGCTTTCACCACCTGGCATAAGAAGGGGGACACGTGAGGCCAGGGGCAGCCAGCTGTTCCCAGCCACTGCCTCTGTCCTCTCAGGTGCCGGAACGCACGCAGACACCACCTCCAGCTGAAACCGGCTGGTCCACGCCACGTTATGGCGTTAATGATTAAAAACTGCAATAATTTTATATGCACTAAAATGGAGAGCAAAGCCAGCTTGGAAACCACAAGCCCCTTTAGCAAAGATTACAGCTGTACAAGCAGGTTTGCAAGGGTGGCGCCCCACGTCAGCAGCCAGGGGCCGGATAACCGACCATCTTTACCCTCCTTCTACTTATGGGCACTCGCTCAATTTTTTTTTTTTTTTTTGGTACTTAACATTAGTTACTTTTATAAATTTAAAAAAATCCACCTTTATTTTTATTTATTTTCTATGGATTTTACTTTCTAAAATTTTTTTCATTTTTAAAAATTTCATTTATTAATTCAACAGAGAGAGACACAGCGAGAGAGGGAACACAGCAGAGGGAGTGGGAGAGGGAGAAGCAGGCGTCCTGCAGGGCAGGGAGCCCAATGTGGGGCTCGATCCCAGGACTCCGGGATCATGACCCGAGCCAAAGGCAGACGCCCCAACAAATAAGCCACCCGTGCCCCTGGATTTTATTTTTTAAATAGTCTCTACACCCAAACAGGGGCTCAAACCCACAACCCTGAGATCAAGAATTGCATGCTCTACCGACTGAGCCAGACAGGCGACCCTAAAAATCCACCTTTAAGGAAAAGGTAAACTATGGGAAGCACAAGTATAGCTTTCATTGGATAAGAAAGAAAGGGAGGTGACAGCAGAGGAACTTAAGAAACAGAGAGCCTGGCCCCTGGCACACAGGCCTCTCCGGGAGCAGACGGTCACTGGACTTACCCCCCGGGGCCCAGTGGTGGCTGGGATGAGCCCCCGCCTGACAGGTGTGTGAGTCCTGGTCGGTGGGAGGCAGGCAGAGGGCCCTGAGAGATGCCCCCCAGCTCCCGGGTCATTCACCCTCCCTGACCAGCCTCACAGGTGGCCAACTGGTAAGGGACAGGAGGAGGGGCCAGCCAGAGGAGAGGATGCCCGGCGGCCACCCATGCCAGGAGGGACATACGTGCTGAGCACCGCCCCCCCACGTCTCCTCCTCTGAGGTCAACTCCCAGGAGGAACCGCTTCTCCAAGGGTGAGGAATGCACATGGTGTCTTCCCTCCTGGGTGGGAAAAGCCCAGGGCTTGGCAAGACCGTGAGTCCCCCCAGTAGACAGGAGGGGAGTGGCCTGGGGATAGGACGAAGCGTGAGGAGAAAAGGATGGGGCAGGGCTATGTCAGGGCACAAGGAGAGCCAGATCCTTGGAGTGGCACAGGAGGGAAGACACTGGAAGCCAGCAAGGACAAGTGTGGGGCCTGGGAGAGAGAAGGCCGGTGGGGGGCAGCAGAGGTCACCGCGGCTGCAGTCTGGGCGCTCAGCAGGGGCCACACCTATCTGTTTTGGGGACTTCAACGGTGTTTCCTTCCCAGCCTCCCTCCCTCCTTCCTTTTCTTAAAGTTATCTTTATGCCCAACGTGGGGCTTGAACTCGTGACCCTGAGCTCAAGTCACTTGCTCTCCCCCCACTGAACTAGCCAGGCACCCCTCAAATGACCTTTTTTGATTGCAAAAGCGTATACTAAAATGCACTTGTGATTTCCAAAGACACAGTGACAGAGGAGGCAGCAGGACCACAAGGTGGGGGTCCGGCCAAGGGAAATGGTTCACTGGGGACAAAGGGAGGAGGGAGCCCAGCTCACCATTTCCAGTTCTTTGTGGGCGTCCAATGCTGTGCACTCCCGCTCAGACCTTTCTTCCACTCTCTTCAGAATGTTCTGAGCACAGGAAAATCTGCATTAATTTGATCCCAGGTGGCCTTTCCTCCCCGCCCCGCCCCCATGCAGCAGTGGCACAATGAAGAGCCCAGTGGGGCGCAGGAGACCACGCGGCAGGCCCAGGCCCGCGCATTCTGACCCACGAGTCAGGATCCTGCCAGGGGTTGACCATGAAGGCCAAGCTGCAGCCCCAGATGCCCCCCATCCCCGAGGGTGGGGAGGTGCTCAACAAGGACACCAGAGTAAAGCCAGCAACCTCCTGCTGGTGGGGTGGCTGGGGCAGTGAGGGGACAGCCCTGCTCAGGCCAACCCGGGCCCCACACTGCGCGATGCTCGGGGCAGGCATGGGGGACTTCCCTGCCCTGCCCCTAGGACCAGTCTGTGGCCAAGTCCCAGTGACCCTGAGACTTCGTTAACTCTGGTCTTACTGAAGAAAAGGTCTTTCTTCCAACTGTTTGATTTTCTTGACTTAACAAAATGAGGCTCCCATGGCTTTTGCCTCGGATGCTTCCTGAGGGCTCCAGGCTGCCATTGGCTGCCATTGCCATTGCCACGCTCCCGCAGCACATTAAGATAGGTCTTGATCTTACTTCTGTTGGTTTTCATCGTATAAAAATTAAGATTTTTATATATCCATATATGCTCTTTCCCTATGATTTCTTAAAAATGTTCCCCCTCTATCTTCTGATTCGGTTTTCCCAAGTTAAGAAAAAAAAAAATCTCACATGTAACCCTTTGTTGACCCATGTCCTGTGACTCGGGTTCGTGCTCCCTGAGTTGTCACATGGCGCTCTCTTGGGCCATCCTGGGGGTGGGGGGAGTTGCTTCCTCTGATGCCCCCTCTTTGGTCCCAGGTCCCTGGGCCCTGTCCTCTCATGCTCCCCCCAACCCCGGCTGCAGCCTCTCCTCCTTACTACTGCTCACTCCATGATGTCTGACCTCTCAGCTACCCTAACTGTGGCTCACAGGTCACCCTCTCAGCCCATCGCCCTCTGAAGCCACTCCCCCTACCAGCTGCACCAAACACCCCAGCAGCCCATGGCAGGCATGGGGTCCTCTTTCAGGAAATGCCCCTCTCCAGGCTTCCCCGGCCCCAGCCTCCTAGGGCTTCCTTCTTCCCTCTATTTGTCCTGGAGCACTGTGTCCCAGGGCTGGTTCTTGGGACCCATCTCTCCTTCCTTAATGATGTCTTTCCCTAAACGCCACCTTGATGCCCAGAGGCCTGCACTGACTTCTCCCTTTAACTCTGCACTTGGAGATTCCTTGGAACCCTGACGTCCCCCCCCCGCCCCCCTCTGCCCATCTCCCCACCTCAGGAAGGGCTGCACCATCACTCCTGCGGGTCCAGCTCTGACTCTTCCTTCCTCTTCCCTGGAGTAGCAAGTGGGCATCTCAATTCTGATTTCCCTCCAGGATCTCCCCCTCTTCCCCCGACCCTCACCTCCCCACCTGTCCTCCAACCCAGGCTGCCTTTCTCCCATAGCTTCCTGACCCCTTCTCCCATTTGCACCCCTGCTCTCCTGCCCCTCACTCAGCATAGGCAGTGTTGTGGGCACTCAGTTGGATCAGGCAACTCTCTTGTCCTGCGGAAGCATGAAGCCAGCATGTTGCCTGGTCCCTTAGGGCCTCAACTGGCCTCACAACGTCTCTGCAGTTACTCCTGTCAAATCCCCTCAGCTCACCACTGGCCTTCCCTCCTATGAGCCTCACTGCCCCAGGGCCTTTGCACAAGCAGTTATCTGTCACTTGAATGGCTCCTGTCAGCCACGTCTCAGCACAGATGTCACTTGTCTAAGAGTCTTTCTTGACATTCCCAACTGGCGGTGACCAGGCAGTGACCCCCCAATCATGTGCCCTCCGTTTCACTGTCCTCACAGCCATGACCACTTCCTGCTTATGTGTGCCTGTTGATCTCGTTCCCAGACTGTGGCTCACTGGGAAGAGGGGCTGACTCCCCCACTGCGTGGCACCCAGTAGTAGCTTCATTAGGATTTGTGGAGCAAATGGACTTCCTGGAAAGCTAGCAGAGACCTGGAACGACTGAAGGAAACAGTCTGCAGCGGGAGAAGCACACGCAAGCCCAGTCCACACGTTGGGGCAGGGGCTGGGGGGAGAGGCTGGTACCTGGACCAAGAGCTTGAGGCGTGTGATCCTCTGGAATGGCAGGATAAGGAAGGAGGACAGGGGCAGCCCCCGGCACTTGGGGTCCAGCTCCAGCTGCGCAATCAGCTCCCGAAAGGCTGCCTTCTCCTGGCTGGGGTACACAGACATGAGAGTCGGTCTCTGGCTTACAGGAGGCGCGAGTCAGAAGCGCATCCACGGCCTCGGAGGAAGCAGACAGCCCACGGGCACGGGACACACGCTGATTTCTTTTAACGGAAGATAAACAGCTCATGTATAAGCCAAATGACAACAGTGGCTTCACATGCCTGGGCCGTGAAAACTTCACAGGATGTATTCCGTGTGGGAAGGTAAGAATTCCTCACATGGCGAAGTCCATGACTCAGACGCAGGATTTGGTGATTTACCCAGTAGGGAACTGTGGCAAGGTGAACCCACGTAGTGACAGGAACAGCGGCAGGCCGGGGACAATGGCCGCGGGGACATCCTGTCTGCAGTTGGCTCGGCAGTGGGGAACAGGGTGCTGCCCTGACGTGAGCTCCAGGGACCCTGGGTGGCACGTCAACAGGGACCCCGGCTCACGGCCTTCCCCTCGGGCCCAGACACCCTGTGCCTCCAGGGACGCACTGTGTACCTGCAGCCCTGCAAGGCCAGGACCCCGTTCTCCTGTCTGCTTGTCACCTCCACGTCTGTTCTCGAACTAGCATCCTGACTCCCTCGAGTCCCAGTTTTCAACCCCCAAACGTCAAACACCAAACCCCCGAATGCTCAAGTTTGAAACCCTCCACAGTTAGCCTCGACAGCAAGGCCCAGGGGAGTGGAATGGCCGGAGGGGACCTCTCAGGGGGACCTCTGGTGCTCCCCAGTGAAGCTAAGAACACATCACGGTTCAGGTGTAACCAAAGCGCGGCACCAAAGTGTGAGGGAGTCAAAAGAGGCAAATCGACTGGAAAAATCACCTCATCATCTGAAACCCCCGGGAAGCTGAGAAGTGGACAGATGAGTGACAAAGTCAAGGGCACTGTTGGAAGGCCACAAAGGCACCCCCTGCTGCCCCATCCCTGCCTTTGGCTCTAGTTCAAACCATCTTCCCAACCTCCTGGGCCACAAGGGGCCCTCCCGGCCTCAAACCCCCTTTTCTAAGCCCCGCAGAGCTCAGCCCAGCCATTCCAGACACGGTCAGATGGGCACCATGTTTGATGGTCTTGGGGTTGACATTTCTCCAGTGACCCTGCAGCCCCCGGAACGTGCCGGCCTTGGAAAGCAGGGGTCCCAGGGCCGTGGCTCGGTGTCCCGGTGGGAGGAGCGACAGCCTGCACGGGGGCACGGGGAAGGGAGGGGGGACACACACTCACAGCAGCTGCTTGTAGGTCCTCTCCTGGTAGGTCTGGTTGCTGACATAGGTGATGTACACCGAAAAGTGGTTGGCCGCATAATGATACACGATGTCGCACACGTCCGAGATGACAATGTTCTCCTCCATCCGGCGCTCCAGCTCCAGGAGAAACCTGCGGTGGGGGAGGGGGCAGTGGGCAGCGGCTCGGGTGAAAGGCGCCTGCACTGGGACGCTCAGGACACATGGCTGCCCCCGGGCCCGGCTCGGGCAAGGCCACAGACACGGCAGGACATGAGCCCCACACCGATGGCACCTTTGGTCCCAGTAGGTAGTCAGTCATCCCGTGTTTTTAGGTGCCTAATAGCATCAGGAGAGTTTTCAGAGAGAAAGAGGCCTTATGTTTAACAGATATACTGATGTGCCCACAGACGAGGTGACAATGGGGATTTGCCGCAGCGGGATCCCTTGGGTGGTGAGGAGGGTTGGGGACGCAGACCAACCCAGGTGCCGGGCTGGGGGGCTGCGCTCATCGCACTGGCGTGTCTGTTTCTGCATGTTTGGAATTCTCCACAGCAAAGTGTAAGTAAACACATAAAAAGTCGCCCTTTCCCCAGTGGGGTGAAGTGGCAGAGGCCAGCGGGTTTCTCAGCAGCGGTGTGTCTGAGCCCCCGGGGCGGGGCCTGCCAGGAGGAGGTGGGTGTCCCAGTGGGGGAGGAGGGAATGCCCAGGGCGCCCCGGGGATGGAGGGGCCCCTCCGGCCACAAGGCAGCTTGGCATCTGAACATGCGTTGTTGGACCCGAAAGCTGAGTTTTGCTCTTCGAGCCGTGGACTCCATGGCCCAGCGGGAAATGGTCGCCAGATGTTCTAACCCAACAATGAAATTGGCGCCCTTTCCTTCTTTACAAGAATCAGTGAATGGATGTTCATTCCCCCTCCAGTTAAGCTCCTCCCATCCTTCCCAGGCAAAACGGAAGCACAGTTCCAAAGCCTCCTTCACAAATCAGCACAAACACCATCTGACTGGAGGGAGGAGGTCTGGGACACGTCAAACCGGGGTTTTAGGACACCAGCTCCCACGGACGCCCCTGGACCCGGTCAGGACACCTGCCGCAAACCTGCCTGACAGCGGGGGACACGAGGAGAACATGCGTGGAACGGGAAGGGATCTAGAGGCAGCAGGCCTGTTCAGGGGGGTGCAACCGGCCGCCCTGCTGGGGGGGGGGTGGTCATGTTTATGTATTTATTTCTTTCTCATTACAGATAATTCCAAACACTCAAAAGCAGAGATGCCGGGCACTCGCTGCCAGCTTTGGCCACGCCCCAGGTTAGGGGAAGTTTCTGGAAGCCAGACCCCACGAGGCCCAGAGCAGGGGGCTCACCGCTCACTGACGGCCATGACGTCCAGGACATTGGAGAAGAGGATGTGCGCCTCTGACGGGTGCAGGATCTTCTTCAGACGCTCATTCTCCATGAAGTGAGACACGAGCAGGCTCAGGCTTTTGTAGTAGGAGGCCTCGGATGTGACCAGCTCGAACATGGCCTGTGTTGGGACAAACAGGCAAGAGGAGGGCCTGGGTCACCTCCGGAGCCTCACCTTGCAGGGGGGGGCATCCCAGTTAGGGACTCAGAGAGAGGTGGGTGTGTGGAGGGAGGGTGCCTCCACGGGCCGGCAGAGAGCCCCCCACCCCACCCCGCACTAAAGAAAAAGAAATCCATAATCTAATAAGGTTTTTTGGAGACACCCTTATTCCGTAGCATGACTGTTACCTGGTCGCTGAGACTTTGCCCGCGACAACATGAGGCTCTGTGCTCTCCAGCAAGGAGCTTCTCCAGAGTGAGGGCTCTCGCTCCTGGCTCAGCTCCACCCCCCCAACCAGCTCACAAGCCAACTGAGGACCCTTCCTGAGGGCGGGGTCAGGCCCCACAATGGCTGCCCAGAAAGGATGTGTAGTGGGGTGAACTGTGGACCCCCCACAAGCTGTGTCCATGTCCTAAGCTCTGATGCCTGTGAATACGAACTTATTTGGTGATAAGTTCTGTACAGAAGGATGTCAAGGATGTCAAGGACTCTGGATCGAGAGCCTAAATCCAACAACAGGTGTCTTTATGAGAGAGGTATGGGACACAGGAAGGTTGTCTGACACGGAGGCATGGGGAGGAGGCCGTGTGAACACAGGCAGAGCTGGACAGGTTGCCCTGTGAGGCCACAGGCAGAGTGGGGGTTAAAAGAAGGGATGTGTTGGGACACCTGGGCGGCTCAGTGGGTTAAGCCTCTGCCTTTGGCTCAGGTCATGATCTCAGGGTCTTGGGATGGAGCCCCCCATCAGGCTCTCTGCTCAGCAGGGAGCCTGCTTCTCCCTCTCTCTCTGCCTGCCTGCCTACTTGTGATCTCTCTGTCAAATAAATAAATAAAAATCTAAAAAAAAAAAAAAGAAGGGACGTGTTTATAAGTTGGGTACACACAGTGGCATACACCTGCCCAACAGCAGGGACAAAGTTCGTAAGGAAGTCACTCCAGGGGTCATGCTATCACAGAGCCTGGCATGAGAGCCCCCCAGGCGCCCTGGGGTTTGCCCCTGACCCAGGCTGACCAGAGCTGGGCCGTAGCCTCTCCGGACTCATCCCTGAGTCATGGTGGCCTATATTCAGCAGACAAAGCCACAGAAGGCACATCCCCCTCATCCTCCAGGGATGCAGGGGGCTTCTCGGCAAGCGCCACTGACATGGAACTGCGTCCCGCTGCTAAGTCTTAAGTTTCCTAAGAAAATGTCAGGCGGTTGAAGCTTGAGAGTTCTAGGTAAATAGAACTAAAAACGCCCCCAGCTGACACGGACGAATATTGCAGAGAGGAAACAACACGGTGTCCCACCCGCAGCCCCACAGAGGAAGGCACGACTCCTGGGAGGACGCACGTGAGGCCCACCTGGGGTCCCACCCACAGCCCCAGGCCCACTGCATCTAGTCTGCTGGGCTGGGGGCTGGGGGGCCGGGGCCGGGGTCCTCCGGCGGCTGGACCTGACCTGCTGGTCATGGACACCAGCTGTGCCCACCACCCACTCTGCCTCCTCCACCGACAGGCCATTAGTCGCCCGTGAAGTCTGTGTTTCTCTTCATTTTATGTCACGTTATCTGCCACAGCAATATGGCTGTTTTTCCTCATCGATACAGTTTTACTCTCATTCAAGCCGCGTGGTGGCAGTGCGGGGTTGACGGGGATCTGGGCCCTGTCCGCTCTCCAGACGCCCTCGCTCACTCATTCATTCACTCACGTACTCATTCACTCATTCACTTATTCACTCATTCGTTCACTTATTCTCACACTCGTTCACTCATTCATTCACTCACTCACTTGCTGGCTCTCCCATTTGCTCCCATGTTTACTGAGCACCTGTCTAGGCCCCAGGCATTCAGGGGTGAGCACGGCCAACTCCCTGACACCAAAGGGTTTGTGTCCCAGGGGGTGGGGACCGAGCAGACAGGAGTACGACTGTCCCAGTCAGGCAGTGAGGAAGGCCACGGAGCAAACGGGGAGAGGTGTGTGTGAGTGTGTGAGAGACTGCATATACGACTGAGGGTAAGAACGTGTACGTGTGCGTACGAGAGCATATACATATGAACAAGCGTGTGTATGAATGAGCATAAGAATGTGCATGTGCAAGCATGTGCGTGTGTTGCTTCCCACAGGGCACGCCTTCCTGAGAATACCACTGCTCCGCAGCCGGGCTGTTGAGGCCACACCTTGCCCACCACCCCGCTGAGACCCTGGGCCTCAGGGAACACTCAGGTAGACTGACCTGAATTTTCCGAATCGCGGCTCGTCTCTCAGTAGTGCTCTTAGTGCTCAGTTGGATTCGTATTAGGTTTGATTTCTGCCAATACTCATGCTATGTTTCCAGTTTTTCCAGCCCTGCCACTACCAAGCCCGCTCCTACCTGGGTTCTTTCCAAGGGGCAGGAGCCACTCAGCTCTGTACGCCACGTGGGAGGGGCTGGGCTAGGCGGTTCTGCAGCTGCGGGGATGGTGGTGGGCAGCGGAGCAGCGGAACCGTCAAGGCTTCTGCCTCGGAGTTAGCTAGACCTCGGCCATGAATGAGAATTGCTTTATCCAGCTAAGCCAGATTGCAGGTGCACAAAATGGGAACAGTCCCCAGCGGACAGTCCGCAGCCTGGAGCCCGCCCATCTCAAAGCACCTGCTGGATGCCCAGGGTCATTACCAAACCGGCATCAGGGCGCTGCCCTCACAGGACTGAGCTTCGCGGGATGGAGCTCCGGCCAGAGGGGTCAGGAGGAGTCTGTACTAGAAGGTGACCCTGGACATGACAGCAAGCCCATTCCCAGAGGCGCAAATGCTCATGTGGAGAAAGGATGCGGGCGCCTGGTGGGACAGTGGGGGCTGGTGGCCAGGCCATGAGAGAGGGCCACGGAGGGAACAGCAGGCTCCTGTTTACATTTTTGAGTCTGTCCCCCTGCCCGCTGTGTGGGCCAGAACCATGCAGCCCTGTTTTCCAGAGTCTGAGACGGCTGCTCCTGACCTCAGAACGTGTTCACCTCACTTCCCACACTGGCCTGTGGAGAAGCCGTGTCTGGCTCCCTGCAGGGTTACCCTACCGGGCCTGGAAGGCGCTGGATCCTACCTTTCTCAGTAAATTTAGATTTTTCTCCAAAGAAAGGAAACAACAGAGAGAAATCACTGATTGGTGTCCCATCTGGGACCATCACTGCTCCATGTCCCACGAGCCGGCCCAGTTTAGCTTCAGCCCGCGGCATCTCCCCCTCCCTGGGGCCGTCCAGACACATGTGAGACTGCGGACCCTGGACCAGCACTGCACCCCTCGAACACAAGATACTCCAGAGACACACAAAGCCAGGACCCCTCATTCATGCAGTACGGGCCACGGGGGCTGCTTGTGGGAGTCGCTGGGATGCGTCAGGCCATCTCCACACGGGAGAGGTGGGGGTGCCCAGAGTTAGGACCACCTGGCCACGCTGTTCGAGCAATGAATTTGGAGAAACAAATGAGACTCCAGCCCATTAGCAACGCAGATAAAAGAGGAGGCGGGGACACCAAGAAAATCTGGAGGCACCCAGATCTGCTTCTGGGCCCAGAGAACACTGCTTGTTAAGAAAGTTTCCTGACCCACAGTTGGGGTGACTGCAGATGGTTCAACCTGTGTCATCCTCCATCGTCCACAAGGGTCTTCAGGGTCCGGCCACCTCCTCTGTCCTCCACACCCCACTCCCAGGGGGCTACGGGCATCGGCCCTTCATTCTTCCACTGGCAAAGCTCGGGCTGGGTGATTCCCTACCCTGGTCTTCACCTGCACCAGCTCCTTGTAACTCAGGGTGGCCTAGAGAAGCCCCCCCAACCCCCCGTGGGGCGTTGTGTCCCGCTCTGGATTGTTTGCGGCTTCCCGGACCTCAGTGCTCATGAATCACAGTTGTCTGATGCCCTCACCTTCCCTTTATCACAATGTGGTCCCGGGGCCTGAGTCACCAGGGTAACCTCTGTGGGGGTTGGTGTGGCATTGGCACAGCCAGGAAGCAAAAGCGCCCCCCTCCCCCACAGTCCCAGGTTACGGGGGAGGGGCGCGCCTCTTCCCAAGTCCCAGGCTCTTCCCAGGACAGGCTATCCATGGTGGCCAGGTCTGAGCTCCCATTTAGGTGGATGAAAGGAGCAAAATGGATCTTCTTAGGTAGCCTGCATTTTCCCACCTGTTATGGACTGAACTGTGTCCCTCAAAACTTGTATGCTGAAGTTCTAGCCCCCAGTATGATGCATTTGGAGATGGGGCCGAGGAAGACGTCATTAAGGTTTACTGTAAGAACTGGTGTCCTTACAAGAAGAGACAGACCCCAGGGATGCAAGCCAAGGACGGGGGTCCCACCAGACACCAACGCTGCTGGCACCTTGATCTCGGACTTCCAGCCCAGGAGCTGTGCAAAATCTATGCATGCTGTCCAGCGACCTGGTCTGGGGCAGTCAGTGAGGGCAGCCCAAGCCGGCCAAGGCACCACCAATTTCCCATGCAGCTCCAGAAATTCTGGCACTCTCCATCCTCCCGGCCGCCCTCGCTCGCCAGCTGAGCCCACATGGACTGGAGGCTGAGGCCACAAGCCCCCTCCAGATACCAGACACACACCTCTCAGGGAGCCAGGAAAAGTCAGGCATTATTCCCAATCACCGGAGTGAGGCCTGGGACCACAGTCAAGAGAAAGGAGACGACCTCTGCGTCACCAGGGCCACTCAGACCCGAGAGATGACTCCTCACTGATTTTCTGTCAAACAGCATGTGCTGCTTCCCAAAAGTCACACCAAGAAAGTTCATTCTGCAAGAACTCGGGATCTTCCTGCTGCCCCTCCCTTGCCAAAATGAGGCATCTTTCTCTCTAGATCCAGAAAATGCTTGGCCACGCTCCTCCCTTAGTGACTATGCTCCTGCTCAGACAGGCGGGGGCAGCCCTCACCTGGTGGATGGAGGTCTCGAGTGTCCTTGTTCTCTCCACCTTGTCTGTGCAGGATTAGCACAGACAAATGGCCCC